CATTCCGTACAGATCTTCAGGAGAAACTCAGAAATACGCAGGGGCGACAAACAGACTTTCTTCACGTAGCATGGCTCGCGTAACAACGGTACCCTGTAAATCTTTGTCTGATTGAAGATGAATACAGGATTAGATTTTAATACTTTTTGATGCAGAAAAATGAAGGAAATTTAAGAATTTAACACATTTTAAGACAGAAAAATACAAAATTTTTAACATTCAACGTTTTTTGTATTAATTCCACAATCTAGGGATCAAGAAGTTTTGCCTTATGATTTTAACAGAGTTATTATGTGGAAAATTGAAGGAGATAATAGAAGTGATTACATCAATGCCTCATATTTCAGGTTTTTTATTGGATTTTTTATTACTTTTCTAAGGGGCCGGGAAGTTGGAATTAAACATTAGAGGGATTATATACAAAATGGTTCCTGAGTGAATTCTTGACATCACAAAATGAGTTTACAAAAATTGAAATTACTTATTTTCTTTCAGAAAAAAACATGAGAGTTAAAAGAATTGAGCATCTGTCACAAACTCAAATGTACCAATCTCTATAACTTGTTTTATCTGATGGTGCTAAATGTACAACTTTGGCATTCTTAGCTTATTTGATTTAACAAAACTCATAGTTTGAAATGTCTAAGGTACACGTCAGTGGGTTGCAAAGATATAGGAATTTGAGAATTTGAGTTTTTGACAAACACTCAATTTCTTGGAAAAAATAAGATTATGAGTAAACATTGCTTTATCCGTTCCCCTCGGAAATTTAGTTTTTGATTTTACATTGTACATAGTATCTTAGTGTATGTACATAGTATCTTAGTGTATGTACATAGTATCTTAGTGTATGTACATAGTATCTTAGTGTATGTACATAGTATCTTACTGTATGTACATAGTACATTCAGGTTGTCATCAGTTACTTATCCATTTTTCATATTAAAAGGACTGTAAGTGTTATTTCAAGTATTTCCATGCAAAGATGTCAATGCCTGATTTACAACCGTACTCTTAAAAGTTTTGTCTGATCAAGTATGAATTAGATATCAATGGTAATAATTTTTAAAAACTGATTATTTTCAATTGTGGCGTCTCTACAAAATTGACTTGCGCATTTCTGTTGCAGGAAAACATAAAATAATTATTAGAATAAAACTTTTTAAACCTAGAAACACAACAATAGCTTCCATATTATTGGTCATATGAACCGTTGTAAATCGGGCATTGACATCTATGGATGGAGAGTCAGTTGAAAGTGAGCGTACAGTCCCATTAATTGCATAATTTAATAATTCATCTTATTTAAGATTTGAGAATTTTTATGTTCCCGATGTGATAATAAGCCAAGGACCCTCTCCTCACATACCGGGATCTACAGAACGATTCTGGCAAATGGCTTCTCAGTCTAAGGTGGAATTCACATAATTTTCGGTATTTAAATGGTTTACACAAAAAGGTTGCAAAGATATAGGATTAGAATATTAGAGTTTGTGACAAAGACTTAATTCGTTTCAGAAAAAAATTAGATTTTAAAGTAAGGATCAACCGTAAAAAATTTGATATCGCTGTCCTTTTATAGAATTATATTATCTAAATGAGTAAGAAATTTCACTTTAATAAGTTTAGAAGTATTGCATCAAAAACATTGTAATGAGTTTCATCATTTTCATCATTTTCATCATTTTCACCATTTTCATCATTTTCATCATTTTCATCATTTTCACCATTTTCACCATTTTCACCCTTTTCACCATATTCACCATTTTTACCATATTCTGATTTCTGATTTCTGATACAAAAATGTACATGAAATATATTTTTAGGCGTCTTGTGTTATACGACTTCAGTGTACAGCCGCTGAAGATTACAAACCAGGTAATGAACAAGAAAAATTTATTGATAAAAGATTAACGAATTATAATAACCACTCCTGTATGCCGAGTCCATTAGCGCCTGATCCAATCAGGGTTCAGTCATGTGTTGTCTATTCTGAACCAATAGAATTAGTATGGTGGTAACATCTATCTTTCTATCTAGCTCATTATCAAATTAGAGTTATAAATCATTCAATCGGCGCTATCAGTAAATGGAAATATTTACTTCTATTGAAACTAATGATATGCTTAAGTACAATGTTATGTTTACAATATTATTTTAACACTTCTTATGATGATGTTACTTAAAAGTCAAGTATTGAAGAAGGTTTGAAATGTTATGAATCTAATTTCAAATATTTTTAACTGTTTTAGGGCAAGAGATGAAATTTGGAAAAATGTCTCTTAGGTATTTATTTATTTATTTTGTAAATTATTTTGAACTATTAATGATTTTTGTTTTAATGAAGGGAAACATCTTAATCTCGTTTTATTTGCAAACAAAGATGGAAAAGGACAATGAAAACAAATAGAAACAAAGGAATTGAGTTTTTGCTACAAATTCTAATTTTCTAATCTCCATATCTTTGTATTACAATGTCTTAGACTTTAGAACTTCGAATTCTTATAGATCGAATAATCTAAGTTTGAAAAATCAAAGGTTTTCGCCCTCAGGTTGCAAACATATTGGGATCAGAACATTTGAATTTGTGGGAAATACTCAATTCCTTTGATATAATGAAGTTTTGTCAATAATGGGAGAAGCTGAAAAGCCTATCCTGTATGTTTAAGTTAATACAATTTCTAAAAGTTAAAAATAGAAATGATTTTAAAAGAAATATTTTTTTGTGCTTAGTCAAACTTTGGAAGAACTGTATGGTGGGTTTTGCGCTTGTAGAGCAATACTTCAGGTTAAGAACATTTATATACTACTAGCTGAAGGTCCCGGCGATGCCCTTGGAAAAAAACGTTAAAAAAATAATTTTGAAAAAAACATTTCGATTTTTTCAGCCTTTAACACCCCCCGGACACCCATGAGTGTCGACAAAAAATGTCAGCCCAATCGGTCCAGCCGTTTGGCCGGCTATACGAAACATATATACGAATGTCTTGTTTTATTATATAGATACATATTTAAGTTTATTGTTTAGCTGTTGTTGGGTTATTTGTATCAAATAGATCGTCCAGGTCATGATTTTTTTTATTTGGCAATTCACGTTCATATGATTTATATTCTCATGGTCAGTCAAAATAAAATAAAATCAAAATTAATTCAATTTTGAAATTCTACCATAAAAACGGAAAAATTTGGGAATTGTAGGATGTTGATACTTTTACAACGTATTAAAAAATGGCTGGTGATGATAGATAAAGCTTTTAGATTTCACATATCTTAAGAAAGAAAGGTCGTAAAGCACCACCTATATATATATATGCTACTTAGAGGATCCATACTCCCCCCCCACTCCCATTCCCATTTCCACTCCACCTTTTCATTAAAACTTTCAAAAAATTTTAAAAAATATTTATATTTTCATGGTCCACGTTTTTTAATTTATATTAAAGTTACGGCCCCGTTAAATACTTTTGTCTTTTAAGTGACATGATCATTTTTTTCAGAAACAATCAAGGAAAATTGTGAGAATTAAACACTTTTTAAGTTAGGAGAACGACGATATCTTCCACATTATTGATCAGAGAAAGGATTAAAGAGTGCCGTTTTATTCGGACATTGCCCTCTTACTTTAAAATAAGCTCATGTAAATATTATTTTGCAAGACTGGAGAAGACTCTGAAGAGAGTCAGATAGATCTGATAACCCTGAGCTATTGGCCGGAATATCAGGATCTTAAAAAAAAAGATGGAAAAGAGTTGTTAGGTAATCTTTTAAAACATTTGAAAGAGAGGAATTGATTCGTTGCCACAAATTCTAATTTTTTAATCCCTATATCTTTGCAACCCATGATGTTTGTAAACCTAAGATATTTCAAACTTTGAACTCTTAGATAAAATAAGCTGAGCTTGAGATATTAATGGTTTACAACATTAGTGCCAAGATATGGAAAATTGAAGTATACTCATTACAGTTATAGTTTTCCCTAGCTTTGTTAAACCATATTACATAAAAGTCATGTGATAATGCAATATGACAAATATAGAATGGTCTGCTAAAATTATTGGTTTCGTATAACTTTTATGTTATTATGAACTAGCATAAGAACCCAGCGCTTGCTAGGAATTATGATTTTAGCCAACTTAGAATCTCTAAAATAAAGTAATAACATTCCCGTGGTTTTCCCTAGTTCCCCAGTCAAAATGATGCATATTTGTTAAGGGGTTTATAAGTTAGGATCGGACAAACAAACGGACAAACAGAGATTACAACTTTATTAAATATTTAGACACAGTTACTGAAATTTGGGAATATTGCAACAAGAGTGGGATTGTTATTGTTCACTGCGACAAAGGAATAAAACGATCAGGAATCTTCATGGTTTTATCCCTTCTTCTCTACAGGGTAAACTACAGTACATAACTAGTATTTATAGTATTTATTTAAATGAGGACCTTGTAATAATTGTTAGCAGGTCGGGATTTACATAGATTTAAACAGTGGAAACTAATGATTTTAAGCAATTAGTGCTTTTTGTGCATTTTTTGCAGAGGTCAGATTTATGCGTGTGGTTTATGATTGATCAGTCCTTTAAGATATTTTGAAGGAATTAACCCGTGTTGTGTTATATGATTCAATATAAAGAGAAAGTTGATTTACATTTTTTTACATTTCTTCGCAAATATTACTCAATATTGTTGCTATAATGAATTTGATCTTTAAATGAGCATGAATGATAAGTGCGTACATTGTTATTATAATGATATTAAAATTTACGCAGAAGAATATGAAAACTGGAAACATATCTGGCGCAGTCAAGGAACTAAGAAGCCAACGTGATAAAATGGTATTCAAATCTAATCCTTTATTTCTAGTATTCTTGGATCTCAAATCTAATCCTTTATTTCTAGTATTCTTGGTTCTCAAATCTAATCCTTTATTTCTAGTATTGTTGGATTCTTGATGATCTTAAGTTCCTCCATCAAGTTGTTCAAGCTTACCAAAAATAAATTTTTTCTTTGCTTTAAGTTTAATTTTTTCATCAAAAAATTCATAAGATTAAAGATATAATAAAGAAAACGATGTTTGCAGATTGATGCATATAAAGATTTTGCTTTTTTTAAAGTTGTTCTGTAAAGATTTCGTTTATAAATATATCATGAATTTGGAAATATTTGATTTTATGCATTTTCACCAAATAGATTATTAAGTACAATAAGTGACAACAGAGAACTATAGACCAATTATACACAACGTCAAATATAACAAGGAAAAAGAAATTTTCTTACATTAGTTGACATGTTCTCCAGATTGAATAAAAAAGTGTAAAAACAGAAAATAAAGAACATATAAAATTACATTTTTTATCGTAAGGTTAGCACTTTTATTCAAAAATTATCACTAATATTAATAATAAAATGTCGGGCACAAAAGCTAAGTTCACACTTGTGACGTCAGAATACAGCTGTACTGAGTGTGTACACATACTACGTTGCCATATATTGTACTACAATCTATTTGCATTTTCACGAAAGAATATATTAAGAAGCCTCCAAAGATTGTATTTGTATTTTAGAAATCTCAGACATGCAAGGTACAAAATTTGGCATTAAGAAACAAAAAATAAGTTCTGAATTTCCGACAGTCAAAAATTTTATGTTGTGAATCTCAGGATCAAGCATTGCTCCATCGTAAGAAGATGTACGGTAACAGTACCCAGTCTTGGCATTATAGTGGTAAACAAATGCACAAAGAGAATATAACATATATTAGAGTGGAATTTACTAGAAAAAAGTGTAAAACGGCCATTTTGTTGTACTGTTTCCATACTGCAGGTGTACTTCACATATTTGCGCTATATAACCTTTTGGGCCTTGGAACATCATTTTATATAAAATCTTAAATTAATATTAAAAGAAAACCAAATTATGAAATAGGCTGGTTTCATAATTGACCAATGATCATTTCACATAGACTCTTTGCCTTTCACTTTACAAACGATGGTTTTCCGTTAAAACTATAAATCAAATGATGTTTTTTATTCACCTAATTCATTATAAAATTTATTTAACAGCTTTAAAAAATTCGAAATTGAAATGGATAGTCTAGGGAACATACTGTATTAATGTACTCTACTGCATATAATTTTTGAACATTTACATGATTTGTACACTTTGAACTCCCTTTCAGGCTAAAAGGGACTGACAAAATTCATACCGAGGGATCGTTTAAATTCCTCTCTAATATATATTCTATTCTCTTTGCTAATGCAGCATGATTAGATCTGATTTGGTCCCTGGTCAACAATGCTTAATAATAAATGATGTTTTTTTAGAAAGCAGTTTTTGTTATAAACAAAATTTGTTGGTAAACTTTTTGTAGTTATAAATATCTGAATTAAATCAAATGCTAAAAATATATTTTTTTATTAAACACTTTCAATAAAAAAGATCCTGTTCATTAACCTGAAATTAGACCTGAGCTGGGAACTTTATAATGGTGGATATCGAGATCAATGCTTGAACCTCTTTTTTTTTTTAATCTTGAGACTTACCTAATCTTTACTTGTATCATGAAAGGTGTATAAAATTCGACCAATTAAAGTCGCGTATCAATCGCCGGGAAATTTGAAGTTTTGCGCGCCATTTAAGATTAATAAACAGAAACGGGAGGAACTCTCTATTTTTAAAAAAAACGGTTTTTGACTTTTCTCTACTATACCCCAAAGCGAGTGGATTAGCAAGAAATTAAAATCTTTTAATTCTATTATTCTTGGTTCTCAAATCTAATCCTTTATTTCTAGTATTGTTGGATCACAAATCTTTCTTTTAATTCTAGTATTCTTGGATCTCAAATCTAATCCTTTATTTCTAGTATTCTTGGTTCTCAAATATAATCTTTTAATTCTAGTATTCTTGGATCTCAAATCTAATCCTTTAATTCTAGTATTCTTGGATCTCAAATCTAATCCTTTAATTCTATTATTCTTGGATCTCAAATCTAATCCTTTATTTCTAGTATTCTTGGATTTCAAATCTAATCCTTTATTTCTAGTATTTTTGGATCTCAAATCTAATCCTTTAATTCTAGTATTCTTGGATCTCAAATCTAATCCTTTAATTCTAGTATTCTTGGATCTCAAATCTAATCCTTTATTTCTAGTATTCTTGGATTTCAAATCTAATCCTTTAATTCTAGTATTCTTGGATCTCAAATCTAATCCTTAATTCTAGTATTCTTGGATCTCAAATCTAATCCTTTATTTCTAGTATTCTTGGATTTCAAATCTAATCCTTTATTTCTAGTATTTTTGGATCTCAATTATAATCTTTTAATTCTAGTATTCTTGGATCTCAAATCTAATCCTTTATTTCTAGTATTCTTGGATCTCAAATCTAATCCTTAATGCTAGTATTCTTGGGTCTCAAATATAATCCTTTATTTCTAGTATTCTTGGATTTCAAATCTAATCCTTTATTTCTAGTATTCTTGGATCTCAAATCTAGGTGAGAACGTGAGAACATTAAGATATTGTCACCCTGATGTTTATGCACATGATGTTTAATTAGCAAGACTTGATAAAGCATCACGACTATGTTGAACTCACAACAAAATCATGAAAACTCAAAAAAGGAATTCAATTTCCTGATCATTCTATTCGACTAATGTTAACCCAATACAGACTGGGGGGTCTCAATCAATGTACATTATACATAAAGCTTAAGAAAAATACATTCTTATACGACTTTCAACATATGTAAATATAAGATCTGTAAACAATTTTTTTTGACTATCGTAGATTTTTTTTAAGTACCGGCCGACATTTCGAAGTTTTAACTTAAGTTGGAATCGCAAACATGAGAAATTTTTACTATATTTAGTTGGATTGTTAAACACCATGATATGTCATGAAATGAATTAAAATACTGAATGTTTATCTGAATTTTACAAATACTTATTGTTCAGAAATATAGAAGTTAAAGTATGTTATTAATTTCTTCATTGAATTAAAATCCTTGAATTTTAAACAGCTTTAAATGCATTAAAGGGACTGTAAGCGTAATGTTAAGTGACCCTATATGTTAAAATGGCAATGTCCGATTTACAATGCTACCATTCAAAGCATATAAGAAACAATGGATAAATTATCAGACCTTACACTACTTTTTGAGTCAGAAAAACGTCGTTATCTTCCATGTTTTGGATCAGATTAAGGTATTAATTGTATCGTTGTAAGTCGGCATTGTCATCTTTGTTCTCTATAATGCATGGAGGATCACCTAAACTTTAAGCTTACAGTCCCTTAAACTAATTTGCATCATAAAAACTGAGTAAAGAATAAACTAATCTCGATGATTTTCCAGATTAAAAATGGAAACATGTATTTTTAATCAACAATACCGTGTTCACGGTTACTTCAAAATGAACCAATGATATTACTTTAACACTGATGCAATTTGCAAGATTTAGTCCCTTCCAGGTTCACCAATTCATCATTATCAAATGCGCGCAGTCTCTGAATTTTAAATCAATGGATGATTTGCAGTTAACCATGAAATAGAGTATTTAGGGCGCGAATTTATCTCTTATTTTCAGTTCTCCTTCCCCCCTCACAGCAGACACTTGTTTACCACCCTCAGTAATATTTCAAATTCTCCCAATCCCTCCTCTCCGCCCTTTTCACCCAATCTCCTTATCAACATGAGAACTTTGCTCCAGGTAAAGGTTTCGGGTGACAAATCTTTTGTTTGGACCAACATTACTGACCCATGATTCCCCTAACATAGGGATGTTAAGTTATTTTATGTCCCTTAGGACAATTAAGTAAAATATCCACCCGCTCTGTAAACTTTTCGTAAAATTTTGCCTACAAAAGATCCCACTCTGCGCTCAGGATGTTGGTAAGCAAAATTGGTCTTGCAAACCCTTGAAAGCGTTTAAAATCAAAATGAAAAAATGTGCAATTTGGAATATTTGAAAGGAATTCAATGATGAAGAGATTAGCCCCGTAAAAATTCAACGTGCTCTCTTTTTAGAACAGTTGTTCTTTAACAAATCAGAGGCAAACAATTATATATCTAACTGTTGAGGAGAGATCAGTGATGGTAAATTCTACCAGATTGATGTAATAATTGTCAAGCCAATGTTTGATGAATTGTACATTATTTCACCACTTAAAACAAATTTTAACAACATTTTATACTAGACTATACTGGTCGCCTTCTTTCTTGCATCCCCTATCTACTCTATTCCCAACCCTGTGCCGGGTGCTGAACCCAATGCTGTAGCAGATGCTACTGCTGAAGCTGACCCAGACGCTACAGCTGATCCTGAATACTATGGCGGGGGAGAGCACTGCAGTACAGTGTATGAAGATTTTTGCACACCTGTAACAGAGCAGAACTGCCAAACCAAATATAAGGTTTAGTATTTTAGATCATAATTCTGCTTCTAAAATAAGACCAACAAAGGAATTGAGTCTTTGGAACAGAATCAAATATTTAAACCTCAATATCTTTAGAACCCGATGTTGTAAACGTTTGATATTTCAAGCTCAGATTATTTGATCTAACATAATTTATAGTTTGAAATATCTAAGGTCTGCAACATTTGGTTCCAAAGATAAAGTGATTAGAAAATCAGAGTATGTGACAAAGACTCAATTCCTTTTATCAAGATTTCTTAAACTTTAATTTATTGAACTTTAATTCATGTTTTTAACTGCAACTCTTTCTAGACTGTAAACTTCTTGATGTTCTTCTATATTCTGTGTAATTACTGTACTACGTCTTTGTTTAGGATGTGTGCATAGCAGTTAAAGAGCAACATTGTACTCCAGTCAATGATCAGCGCTGTTTTCAGTATGAAACTCTAAAATGCAGGTTAAAAACTATAAAATAGTAACAAAATAAAAATAATTGAAATTCATTTGCTGATTTGATGAAAACCATTTTCAGGGAAGTTGGTGCTGAAGTGTGTGGAACTATCCAAATACAAAACTGCACCCAACATGCTTTGCAAATAGCAGAAACAACATGTACTGTGGGAGAGGAGGAAGTGTGCACTAACGTCCCAGATGTTGCTTGTCATACCGGTTCCTCTCCTCAGTGTACAACAGTACAGGATTTGAATTGTGTAGATGTTGCTGAAGAGATCTGCTCCACAGTAGTGGATGTTGTGTATCAGGACCAGTGTGTTACAGTAAACAATGTGCAGTGTGCTAACGTCGGGATTGAACAGTGTAACAACTATGATTCCCAAATCTGTAAACCTATTCATGTTGATCAATGCCATGATGTTTACAAAGATGAATGCACTACGGTTTATGAAAAATCTTGTCAAGGTTACCATTGTCAGGATGTCCCAAGACAAAAATGCCACAAGGTGCCCTCCAAGCAATGCCATAGCGTTCCTCAGCAGCATTGTGAAAATGTTCCAAAACGTGCATGTCAGACTTTTCCTTCACAAAAATGTAGTTCCACTCCCCAGCAGCAATGCATCAAGGTTCCAGTTATTAAGACCAACAATGTCTGTCGTAAGATCTATGTTCCAAAGTGTAGCAGTTTACCTCGAGAACAGTGCATAAATGTTGGCAGCCAGTCATGCAATGTGGGTCAACGTAAAGAATGCATTCATGTACCAAGAGTTGGTTGTTCTTCCCATCCAAGAAGCATTCCCACCACCTCATGCTATCCTGTTCATGTGGAACAATGTTTAAATGTACCTAGGATGGAATGTGCACCATACGCTGAACAGGCATGTGTTGATGTTCCTGGCCTTAAGTGTACAACAGTGGCTAACCAGCAATGCTTCCAGGTACCAGAGCAGCAGTGTTCTCCTGTTCATAGGGAACAGTGCCAGAAAGTACCTAAGCAGAAATGTTTGGGACATGCTAGCAATGGAGGACAAAGTGGGAACCAAGGACATGGTGCCATCCTTGGACATGGTTCCATCCTTGGACATGGTGGAAATGGAGGCCATGGAGGATTTGGGGTACAGGGAGGGCACGGTGGACAAGTTGGTTATGGTGACCAAGGTGGACAAGCTGGAAATGCTCACACAGCACATCTTCCTGGATACCAACCTCCTCATGGTGCTCTAGGACAAGATGCTCATTTTGGAGAAGGTGATGGTGGAGCAAACCAAGGATACCAGGGCCAATTCTCAGGAGGACCTGGAGATCACATTGAACCTGGTCCAGGCTTCGATGGACATTTCCAAGGAGTTCCTGCAGTTCATGATGAACATGAGGCTGGCTACTCCCCCTATGGAAAGTAGTTTTAGTGCATAGTTTTACTTTTTGTTGGATTGTTATTAAATTTAAAACTTGCAGATTGCTTTACTTCTGTTGCTTATTTATTATTGTATTTATTCTTGTAAAATTGGACCTACATAGTACAGAATTTTATTTGTTGGAATAAATAAAAGTATTTAAGGACTAGTTCAGCATTTTTATTCGATTTAAATTAAAAATTAAATTACTACATTAATTTCCTTTAAGTATGACTAGAGTTTCCAACGCAAGTGGATTTTACTTGCGCGCAATTTTGAACCCTTGAGCGCAATTCCGTAATAATAGCATGCAATGAATGCATCAGAATAGCGCACAATTGCACAATTCCATCCAACTTTTTTTACATTTGTGTTTCAATTTTTTGATAATATTCAATCAAAACCTTATGGCACACAATATATGCAATTAATTATTAAATAAATTAAAGAAATATTAATTATTTTTGTTTGTAAGGCCATCAAATACACTTTCAGTACCATAGTTTTCTGGTTCTCACTGTAGCAAAATATATAATTTCGACTAAACGAACCTTACAATTTTAACCAAAAAAAAGTTCCATTTTAATGTTCATCCAATATGAACAAATGAAAAAATATTAAATTGATAATTAGTAGCGTCTGCTTAACCACAAGAAACTTTAGAATTTGAAAACTGTTGAAACAAGTGAAACTCGGGCCTCGATCATTTTAAAATATACAGAGATATTTTCATTCTTGTATCTGCTTCATAAATTTGCAAGTCACAGATAAAATTATTGATTTTTATATGGAAAAGCAATTCCGAGCAATTATGTGCAATTCCTTGCAATTATGCACAATTCCGCGAATATTTAATTACTTCCTTGTTCGCAATTATAGCACAATTGCGCGCAATAAAATTGCGCAAGCGGAAGCAACCATTGCGTGCAATTCCGCGCAACAGAATTCCGATTGGAAACTATTTGATTTTTATTGATGAATTTTCATTGCTCTTGATCTTGAAATATTAATATATCTTACCTTCTTTAAATTCATTTTTGACTTTTAATAATCTTCTCTTAAATCGCAAAATTTTATGAAGCTTTGGCAAGAACGACATTTTTTCCCCCAAGAAAATGTGGGTTAGAAAAAGAAAAAGCATGTGATTGTAGATTATTCTTATTTTCTACAACAATGAGAAAAAAGCATCAGTGGAATAGGATTTTTTACTTGTACCATGCTTTGGAGGGGGTTTCTTATAAAATTGAAAAACTTGTAAATCTGTTAAATTTGGAAAGTTGAAAAGGAAGAGAAAGCTAGAAATAATTACAGGGTTATTAGCTTCCACCATCCCCTTGATACCCCCCAGCTCCCACCATCCCCTTGATACCCCCTAGCTCCCACCATCCCCTTGATTTAATTTAAACACTAGACTTAGGGTTTTTAGTATTCCAGCAAAAAACTATAATTTTTCCTGTTAATGGAATGGAAACCGGAAAAACTCTATTTTTCCTGTTAATGGAATGGATATCGCAAAAATTCTTCATCCCTTCTTGTTCTTAATCTTGTTTAATTTGGAAACAAGTATTTTGCATTGAAATAGCATATCAAATAGCATATCAAATAGCATATCAAAAGCTACACAAAATTGACAGCTATAAGAGCCTGCAGGCCTGACAACACAATAAAGAATATAAGATCTGATTATTTGGAGTTAATTATCTATCACTGTATAGGTTTTTAATTCTTTTCTTCTATAAGTAGAGTTTTGTTTTCACTTTTTTGTAAACTCTTTGTAGATATAATATGATGAGGGATCAAAACTCCTTTATAAATCTTGAAATGTACAGCTGTTTTGAGTCCTCTGCGTTCCTTCAATCTCTGAGTTAGTTTCAGACTTGTGACTTAGGTCTGTGTCATCTTATCTCTAAGATGAATAGATTGTATAATACATGGCATAAACTTTTTGCAAGTTAACCATCCTTAGCTGATCAGTTTATTGCCCCCCCTCGCCCTTCCAACTCTTCAAATATATAATAAATCTATACTTTTTATTATTTCTGTAATTCCTTACGCTCAGTGCCCCTTTTCCTGGCCATCTTTTTATGAATGCCGACTACTGCATTTTAAAATCCACTCTTTATGCCAGAGACTTAACTCCGTGTGGCTGAGTTAACTATTGAACCAGAAAAATGAATGAATACATGAATTTAAATAAAATGAATGGGTTATATTATATACCGTAAAAGTTCACGGATTAAGTTGGAATATATTATCTTAAATGCGCCTATCCGTAAAATGTAACTTTTAATTTTTTAGATGATTATAAACTTAGTCAATATTTATGTAAAAAATTAAATAACGATAAAAAAGTATTGCGGATTAATATGCGATGTCTGTAACTAAGAGTTAATATTACGGACTATACAAAAGAGCGCATCTAAGACATTTGACAAGGTTTGACGTCCCTTCATCTCTTGTCTGCGTTGTAAACCATGGTGACGGATTCCAAAAAAGGATTTTATACCTTGTAAATAACTAGAGCTTGAAACCCATCAATCCTTTAAAAATACTTGAAAATTTATATACGGGCACTTGGACAGGTGGCCGTATCAGGTCTTTTATAATACCGACTCCAGGTTTTAAACCACTCAAGAGTTCTTTCATAATACCGACTCCAGGTTTTAAACCACTCCAGAGTTCTTTTATAATACCGACTCCAGGGTTTAAACCACTCCAGAGTTCTTTCATAATGCCGACTCCAGGGTTTAAACCACTTCAGAGTTCTTTCATAATACCGACTTCAGGTTTAAAACCACTCCAGAGTTTTTTCATAATACCGACTCCAGGTTTAAAACCACTCCAGATTTTTTTCATAATACCAACTCCAGGTTTAAAACCACTCCTGAGTTCTTTTATAATACCGACTCCAGGTTTAAAACCACTCGACTCCAGAGTTCTTTTATAATACCTACTCCAGCTGTTAAGCCATTCCAGAGTACTGTCATAATACCGACACCACTCCTGCAGTCTTCTCCATCTCCAAATTTTGGAGCCTAGTCACCCAAACTAACCTAAATTTTGATCCGTCAAAACTGTTTGAAATCAGCCATCAAAAACTTGAAAAATTTGAAAAAATATTACAATGCTATTTTTAAATAGTATACAAGGAAAACTTGTTGCCGCCAATAGCAACATTTAAGAGCTAACTTTATTGCGAGTAAGTTAACAATATCGAAATTTGTAAAATATGTTTGCTAATGATTGCAAGCTTTTTGAGACCCCGATAATAAATTGGACACAAAATATATATAATCGATTTTTTATCCTAAACTGCTTTTAAGGTTGTTGGTTAAAAAATACTAACTTTAACAGGGGGGGAGTGCAACTATCCTCCCTTTCCTCGATAGAACGACTCTCTCCCCTTTCCAAATGGTAACATGACACGTTTTCATTATTAGACGCCTTAAAAGGCTTCACAACATACATCTAATGACCTACATCTTACACTAATCCGCAAACTTTATCTTAAATTTTATCCTTGCCACATTTAACTTACAACGAAAACCCATATTCTACATCTTACATTTTAAAACTTAAAAATTAGAACTTACATCATACTTTTTACATTTTACAACTTACATCTTGCATCTCACATCTTACAAATCACATCTTACATCTTGCATCTTCCATCTTCCATCTTCCATCTTGCATCTCACATCTTACAAATCACATCTTACATCTTACATCTTACATCTTACATCTTATATCTTATATCTTATATCTTACATCTTACATCTTACATCTTACATCTTTCATCTTACATCTTACATCTTACATCTTACATCTTACATCTTACATCTTACATCTTACATCTTACATCTTACATCTTACATCTTACATCTTACACATCATCTTGCATCTTACATCTTACATCTTACATCTTACATCTTACATCTGACGTCTCTTACCTCTTACACTTCAACATTATGTATTTAATATCTTATGTTTAGTAAATTAAATTATTTCCGAAATATCACAATTTTACATTTTATAGCATTCTTTTGTGGAACTATCCCAAATTGTTCATAGTATCATCTTCTAATGGAGTAAAAACCTGAGCTCTGTTTCTTCAATTGTTGAATTGTGAAACTGAGGAATTGTAAACATTAAACATTTAATAGATCCACATTCTTCATTCTCCCCCCCCCCTCCTCCTCCCTCATCCCCTTCTCCATCCTCCTTTCATCTCAACCAACCCCAAACTTTACCAACCAATTTCCTTCCACTCCCTGGGCTCCTCTTTCCATGTTAAACCATTACCCTTTCCATCTACACCAATCCCCAAGTATAGGGGGGTAAATGGGATGTTGGTAGGTAAACAGGGATAATCTGTCTACTGTGTTAAATAAATGAGGTTACATCAATATGAATATGTCACTCACACAGATGTTTTTATATTTTTAAGTATTCTAGAAATCATTATTTAAAAGTAAACCAGGGAATTTTATTAATAATTTACTTCTTTAATACAGAGACAAATGTTTAGAGGACAAATCGAGTTTTTTTAAAAATACAAAGCATTAATTCAAAGCATTCATTAAGAAAATAGACCAATAGTATAGATAAAAAATATACTTAAATAAAAACAAGTAGGGTTTCTAAATTTTCGATAAAATTTTTTTCGAGATTTTTCCGAAATTCGAACCCTATTCCGGGGAAATTTTCTATAAAGTTCGTGAAATTCGTGAATTTAGGAGTAAAAAATATTAAATGTTTGTCGTCAAAAATCTCTGAAATTTTTCGCAAAAATTTCGTTAATTTCGAGTTTCGAAAATTTCATTGGAAACCCTGAGAACAAGCCATGTTTGTATCATTATGATTAAAATTCTTTTTCTTTATACAATGAAAATGATATAATTTTTCTTAATATTTCTGTAATGGAAGAAAACAAATTTTTTTATCAAAATCATTAAATCTGAGATTTGAGAATGAAACATGACGAGTAGAAACATGTTAGGCTCCCCCCTGTCCCNAAATTGTTTAGACTTGCGTAGACAAGTAAAACACATACTTTTTCTCCTGCACCTTTTAGATTGAAAACATGATTTTCTATTGAACACATAGATACAGGCTGAAAACTTGCATCAATTTTCAAGGGTGGGTCGACTTTAGAGTTTGCAATTTACG